CCCCTGGTCAACCTCTCTCTGCCACAGTTAACAGTGGGGAACCTTGGACAGCTGTTCCCTAGTGCAGGACTTTGTGTAGGACTTTTGGGCAGCTGTCATCTTCCCTATGCTCCACTCAGTGTTCCCTCAAAGAGTCCCCAGGACACCAGTGCAAGAACTGGTTGGGGGGGGGGGGATATCTCAAGACCCCTGCTGTGATTGATCTCATTAAAGCTGACTGTAACCCCAGAGGGTTTATGCTCCCCAGGGTGTAGGTGCTGTGTGAGCTCAGCTTTTTCTCCCAACGTCTACCTGTTCTTTTCCAAGAAGAAGCCTTACTTCGTGTTTGGATTAAGAGAAGTCTTTCATATATTTTTGCTGAAAACTTGTAAGGCTTATTGATCTGTCATGGCCTGGGTCCCCTGTTGCCCTCTGTTTCTCCTTTCTAAAACTGGATTCCAGCATTTCTTTACTTCTTTCAAGTTTTCATAAGAAAACTGGTTCACCATGGCTTGATGGTTCACTGTGTTTGTAACCTGTTGTATAATCTGTATTTTACCAAAAGGGTTTGTACAATAATGCTTTCCTGAATAACATTAAGAAGACCTTTTTGTAAAATGTTGCTTTAAATATATTAGGGCACAGTCCAGACTCCTGTGGCAGATGCTTGTAAGTCTCTGGGCCTGGCACAACATGCAGCAGTGACAATTCTTTGTGCTGTGCGTCTTATATAAATGGTTGTTTTTGGCCATCTGGATTTAGAGTTGGGGAGGAGGAGGGAAGGATGCAAGGCTGGTAACTCTTAGCATCCGTCCCTGCCCCCAGCACATCCCTTTCCTCCCTCTGTGGGCCGCTGTTCTCATCTCAGGGACTCAGCCTTTGGAATATGAGCACTGTGGTCAGAGGTCTTTAGTACTCCTACTTTGAAAAATCTTACGTATGTATGTCTGTTAGTTGTGACGTTGTGCCTGACCCATCATGGCCCCATGGACAACATTCCTCCAGGCCTTCCTGTCCTCCATCCTCCAGAGGCCACTTAAGCTCACGCCGACTACTTCAATGACTCCATCCAGCTACCTCATTATTGGCCATCCCCTTCTTTTGCCCTCAATTGTTCCCAGCATCAGGCTCTTCTCCAGGGAGTCCTTCCTTCTCATTAGGTGGCCAAAGTATTTGAGTTTCATCTTCAGGATGTGGCCTTCTAAAGAGCAGCCAGGGTTGATCTCCTCTAGGACTGACCAGTTTGATCACCTTGCGGTTCAAGGGACTCGCAGGAGTCTCCGCCAGCACCACAATTCAAAGGCCTCAATTCTTCGGCGCTCAGCCTTCCTTATGGTCCAACTTTCACAGTCATATATTGCAAGTGGGAAAACCATAGCCTTGGCTATACACACTTTTGTCAGCAGGGTGATGTCTCTGCTTTTTAGTATGCTGTCTAGATTTGCCATTGCTTTCCTCCCAAGGAGCAAGCATCTTTTAATTTCTTGGCTGCAGTCCCCGTCTGTGATGATCACGGCGCTCAGGAAAATAAAATCTGTCACTACCTCCATTACTTCCCCATCTATTTGCCAGGAAGTGATAGGACCAGATGTCATGATCTTAGTTTTCTTAACGTTGAGTTTCAAGTCAACTTTTGTGCTCTCCTCCTTCACCCACATCAAGAGACTTATTAGTTCCTCTTCACTTTCTGCCATGAGAGTGGTATCATCTGCATATCTGGGGTTGTTGATATTTCTCCCAGCAATCTTAATTCCATCTTGTAATTAATCTAGCCCTGCCTTTCTCATGATGTGCTCTGCATATAAGTGAAATGCACATGGTGGGCATGTCGTGAGCGGAGCCAGGGGTCAGACTAGATGGCTCAGGAGACCCCTTCTGACTCTGTTTCTATGTTTCTAAATTGGCAGGGGAAAGTGTACAGCCTTGCCGAGCTCCTTTCTCAGAAAAATCTTATGGTCTCCTAAACCATGTGAGGAAGCCATGGGATTGTTCCCTTAGTCAAATAGCTTTGTTTCTCAGCTCATGTTTCTAATCCCTTTTACCCTGGAATCTTATTTTTTAATTTTTTGAGTGTTTATATGATATTTTCTCCACCAGATCTCCAATTTTAAGTCCACTGATCTGTTCTGATAACTAATTTGAGCACTAACACAACTGTTACCAAAACATTTCTTGTGACGTTTTTAAAATCCTGTGTTCATTAAACAGTATTAATTCAATTTCATTAAAACAATGGGTCAATTTGAGTTATCATCTGATAATAGTACAGGACAATATTTTTCAAATGATAACTCTTCCAATTTCAAAATATATCACTGTTTCCCAGGATACCTTTTTCATACTTGTGTATACTAAATCTTGCATGGGCTAGTAAATGAGCTCTTTACCTCTTGATTGTATCCCTAATGGGATCATTAAATGATAGAGGGGGATGATTATGCATGAGATATTATTTCAAAATTTAACAATAATTGAAGATACTAGCAATCTGAACTGTAGACATTTGGAAGCTATAATTACATTTTGGCAGATCTGGTGCATTGTTAGCAACCCTTTCTTCTCCCTCTCCAGCAAATTGTCTTAACAGTTTTTGATAAGCTAAAAGGATTTTGTTCAACAGAAGTTGACAGACTTCCTAGAGACAAAGGTTTTTCAAATGAAAGCAAAGCACAATATTGAAGGAATATACAAGAATTGGGCACTGTTCGCACTTTGGAAATACAAAAACTATTTTATTCAAATTAAATATTCTGTGATCTTTAGTGTTTAAGGAGAAATGGACAACATAAGCATCAAAGAATCACTGAGATATATTGAACTATAAACTGACACAGTGTAACTTTGTGATATGTTGGTCTCTATATTCTATTGCAGTGGACAGAAAATGTTTGCATCTAGGTCTTAGTAATACTTTTGCATATAGGCATAGTAATCTGAGCTAACAATTTTTTAAATTGTTCATGGGATTTGTTGAGATTCTTTGCATCATTCCAGCTTAATCTCACTGGTTTAAATTAAGAGCCCTTCATTCACATCAGATTCCTTTCAGTTTAACAAAACAATGTTACAAAGGTGCACTCTTTACCTACTTCTCCTGAACAATAAGTTTCACAGGTGACCTTTTCACAAGATGTGCTTGCAGAAAGTACTGGGAACCATAGTGTCTTTGTAATATCTGTTCTGGTGTGTAGACACATGCAGAATATAGTGGAAGCAAGCTCACTGTAATTGTTGTCATTGTCTTTTTTCAAGAGTGACCTAATCAGTGCCTCCTTTAAAGAAGTCAGCACCACCTTCTCTTTCTAGGAGGAATTTACAACCACCTGAATGCAGCCGATATATCTGTTCTGTTAGATCTAATAAGCCATGAAGGGCAATGACCGAGCACACAACAGGTTGATCGGACTTGACCAAACACCATGTCTGCATCCGTGTCCTCATGGCTCAACAAATGAAACACATCCAACAAGCTGAACCAGACGGTGCTCTGGGCACCTCTGCTAATACAGCTGCATTAACTGTGGGGATGGTAGGATTTGGGAATGGATTTGAGAAGCTTCTTTTTCATACAAATTTGTCACAGCATCCTATGAAAGTTTTCACCATTTTTCACCCTGGCCTCCATTGCAGCAAGCCATGAACCACTCCACACAGCTCTGCTGGAGAACACCAAGATACAATGATGGTGCAGAAGAATTTAATTAGAGAAGTAATCTCACTAACCTGTGAACAGTCAGACTTGGGGAAAAGGTTTCGTCTATTTGCCTTCTAGCCATCTTCTCTTCATTTAAAAAGCAAAAAAATAAGTTTCTAGCTTCTCCTCTCATCAACTGTATTCAAGAGCACGCTAATAGGAACACCCTGTTCTTCCTTAATTTCCTAGGCTTAGGTTAAAATTATATAAAATACGGAGCCCTGGCCCTCGGAGCAATAACTAACAAGCAGCAGGTGCTAAATGATTTGAATATCCACAGTTACTCCTCTCCCAGTTACTTCATCTCCCTGGAAATGTCTTTCTTCATTGATGTCACAGACGCAGAGCCAAGAGCCAACAGCAAATGGCCAGGAGCCATGGTAACACCTTTCTTTGGTGATGTCACAGATGCAGAGCCAAGAGCCAAAGGCTAAGAGCGCTGGAAACACCTTTCTTTGGTGATGTCACAGATGCAGAGCCAAGAGCCAAAGGCTAAGAACGCTGGAAACACCTTTCTTCGGTGATGTCACAGACGCAAAGCCAAGGGCCCAGAGCCCTGGAAACGCCTTATTTTGGTGATGCCACAGATGCAGAGCCTAAGGCCAATAGCAAAAGGCCCAGGGCCCTGGAAACACCTTGCTTTGTTGATGTCACAGACACAGGGCCAAGGGCAAAAGGTCCAGAGCCCTGGAAACGGCTTTCTTTGGTGATATAATAGGTGCCAAGCCAAAGGCCAATAGCCAAAGGCCCAGAGCCCTGGAAACGCCTTGCTTTGGTGATGTCACAGATGCAGAGCCAAAGGCCAAGAGCCCAGAAACAAGTGGAAAGAGCAAGGAAAGAGCAGCCTCATCCAGGTGTCTCAGATTGTAGACAGGCCCTTCCTTTATCAGGTTTTCTCACATCATTTATGTCAACAGATCTGAATTGCAGGTCATCATTTGACTGAACTAAGGTTCTGTGGAGTTCTAGTAATGGAAGCTAACCTAGTAATAATATAGTTACAATATCTTGATTATTTAGCAAAACACAGCTTTTCTCTGGGCCAGAGCTCTTCATCCATGTAGTAATAGGTAGTTCTCTACAGGAAGAGTATAAATCTCGCAGTAGGTCCGCTTCCTGTTGACTGCAGGTTTAGAATGTACTTGTCACAGGCATCTTAGTGTATCTACTTTCTAAATACATAGAGGACATTGTTTGGAATTGAAGGCACTGAAAACCTTATGTAAAGAAGGGACTTTTAGTTAAAAATAGCATTCTGAAACAATTTCATGAAGTATGGATCTGCAGCTGGAAAAATACCAACACTTCTGATTTTCTCCCCTTCTAGGTGGCTAATCTTGCTTGTTCAGTATCAACAAATGAAGAAGGAATTAAAATTGTCCAAATGGCAGCCAGCCACATGGAGACTTTGTGCCCTCAGGTATGACTTTTCATTATGCACAAAATGGTCTTCAGTTTACTCCCTAAAAAGATATCCTTATTTATAAAGGTGCAAAGAAAAATATTCAGTGATTAATCTTTTTGTTCTTAGTATTCTACAATATTTCCTGTTTTGTATTCTTTATTAAATGGTGATTTCTTTTAGATAAACAGTGTTGAGATTTGTATGGTTTACTATGTTTTGCATGTTTATAGCAAAATAAATGAGACAAAATCAGTACAATGCAGGGACTTAATTATGGTTATATAGTCAAAACCAAATTACTGAGGAATAGAGAGGGGTGTCAGCATAGTCTCCAGAAGCAGAAAAAAATATCTGGGGGGACCCTAAGGAGAACTCCTCCCCCCCACACACACACACATACACTGAGAACTGGGCATGTTCAGTGGCCACAGAATGCAAAGTGACTGGGAAGGTAGAGAGAGATGCTAAAGGAAAGGGAGTGGAATTTTGTGAAAGGGCAATGACCTGGAAGCATGAACTGGGTGCTGCACAGTACAGTGGTCTATGACAGATCCTGTTTCTTGAACCACTGTAGCAAAACCAAGGGAAGATGCCATTTTCATCTGGGGAATAATCCTATGGAGTGCATCTTTACTTTTTGCAAACCACTGAACTCAGAAGTTTCTGGGCTTTCCATATCCTTCAGGGCTGAAGCTGGCAGGACAAGAGGAGAGATGGAGGCTATCTTTGCCTCTCTCTCCCTTCCTCCTCTAAGCTCCTTTGTTTGCAGTTGTTGAGCTTTTCAAAGGGTCTACCGGGAGGAGGAGGCCTGTTGCAGAAGGATTCTTCACAAGGCTAAGGCTGATTATGAACTGAGGCTTGCCAAGAATATCAAGAGCAACAAAAAGGGCTTCTTTCAGCATGTAAATATTTATTTATTTATTTATTTATTTATTAAAACATTTCTATGCCGCCCC